CAATTCCCCAATAAAAATCTTAAAAAAAAAAAAGTTACAAAGCTGTTTTAAAATTGAAGGGAAGGAGAACTTTCAAAAAGCTGGGAAGAGATTTGATAAATATTTTAAAACTTGCCTCGAAATACAGACAAGGTTTGAGTAAAGCCAACACTAGAAGTCAAATTGCATGAACAAGAATGTGAGCACAGACCTGTCGCTGGGAATGAGCCTAGGTAGGCTTCCTGGAGCAGAGGTATTTCAGGATGATCAGTGTAATGCTAGTTTGAATGTATATTATGTATCTAGGTGGTGAAAAATCTTATTGGTGAATAACTTTTTTTTCTTTTTCTGTTGGTATATGGGGCTTTTGGGCTCAGGATGTTGTAGATTTCTGAGCACAGAAATGTCAGTGTTGCATTGAATGTGGATGAGAACACCTAACAATAGTTTAGAGGATCGAAAATTTTTAAAAATACGTAGATAAAATGAATATTGTAGGTGCAGCTTTAGGAATCTGATATTTAAGGTTTTACACCAAATGAATCCCAGGAATATGGGAACTCTTGTTTGTATTCAGAATTGAGTTATAGTGTTGCTTCAGGGACATGACTAGTTTTAGGAAACTTAAGTCAGAAAATTAATGGTGAAATGTAATGAGCATTTGTTTTGTGTCACAAGCTGTTCTCAGCAGATTACATGTGCTAACATGAGCACAGACTCATGGTTGGGAATGAATAAGTTTGTCCTGTCCCAGCCCTTTAATTTAGGCACCATCATCCACATTTCAGATGAGTGAAACTACATCACAGTTATGTAACTTGCCTAAGGTCTCCCAGCCTATACCATGTTTGAGTTGGGGTTCTAGTGCTCTTAACCAACTATGCCCGTTGTGTAAACAACTAGTTCAGTTACTGTTAAATAAGACTATTTATATAATAGTCTCATGATAAGAGCACTTCAGAGAGCTGATCCTAGTGGAAAGCTCTCTTGCTGTCTGGTCTGTCTTACATCTTTTAGACAGTTTATGTTGGACCTCTCCTTCCAGGTGAATGTGAATTGGGGCTAGGGAGTTGGAGCCCTGGTTCTGGGACTATCTAAACATGAGGAAATCGGAGCTTTAAGAATGTTTGCTTGGATTTATGTGTAGAGCAAAAAGACAAAGATTTTGAAAGGGTCTATGCTAGTGAAGATGTTGCTATGGTAATCTTGTTATAAATAATACCTCTCAGTTTAATATAAATTGTAATCTATTTCTCCCAAATATAATACATACTTGACTGGTTCCTTTGACTACACATCCAGTAATTGTCTTAGCTCTCCCACTGACCGCATTTGCCCTGAGTCTTCCAATTTCTGCCTGGATCTAATACTCTTTCAATGACTTTGTCCTCTACTCATCATTTCTTGTGTTTATTCCACCTGTTCTAAAGTTTTGAACATATTTATAAATGACAAAGGTACTTGTGTTGAATATCAATTTATTCTCCCTTTTTCTACTTGTGCTGAGTCCTATCCCACCTTTATCCATTTCACATGCTTCCCTCAGTCACACTTCTCTGTGTGTGTGTGTGTGTGTGTGTGTGTGTGTGTGTGTGTGTGTGTTTCTGCCTGTCTTGTATGACAAATCCAGGGGCAAAGAGGACCAAGAACTTATAATTATTTTTTATTTGTGGAGATTGACCCAGAACCCAGCATCAACTCCACAGTAGGGCACTCCCATTCTATAGCTAGTGTGTTCAGATTCACAGGTTTGTTTAATTTTATTCCTTTTTAGAAGTCTGGAAGGTTGATGACATGATAAACAGAATCCAAGAAAATGAAGATGAATGTTCAAGGCATGCTGTTTATATCAACAGCAAAACCCTGCTTGAAGAGAGAAAAAATGCATTTGATAAAACTTGTAATACAGAAACAAGCCTTGTTCCTTCAAGCATATCTCATAATTGTGTCTCATGTGGAAAGAATTTAGACTCTACTTCGGAATTAATTATTAGTGATGGAAGCTATGCAAGAAAGAAATCTGATGAGTGTACTGAATGTGGGAAAATGTATCATGGAGAGAAACCCTATGAATTTGATCAAAATGGGGAAGGCTATTCTCAAAATGAAAGTATTCTTCAGAAAATTAATATTTTGGAGAAACCATTTGAATATAATGAATGCATGGAAGCCTTAGACAATGAAGCCGTTTTCATTACTCATAAGAGAGCTTATATCGGGGAGAAGCCCTATGAGTGGAATGATTCTGGATCAGAGTTCCTCCAGATGTCAAATTTTAATGTGTACCAGAGATCACAGTTGGAATTGAAGCCCTTTGAATGCAATGAATGTGGAAAATCCTTCTGTAAAAAGTCAAAATTCATTATACATCAGAGGGCTCACACAGGAGAGAAACCTTATGAATGTAATGTATGTGGGAAATCCTTTAGCCAAAAGGGAACTCTCACTGTACATCGGAGATCACACTTGGAGGAGAAGCCCTATAAGTGTAACGAATGTGGAAAAACCTTCTGTCAGAAGTTACATCTCACTCAGCATCTGAGAACTCATTCAGGAGAGAAACCCTATGAATGTAATGAATGTGGGAAAACCTTCTGCCAGAAGACACATCTCACTCTACACCAGAGAAATCATTCAGGAGAGAGACCGTATCCATGTAACGAATGTGGTAAATCCTTCTCCCGCAAGTCAGCCCTCAGTGACCATCAGAGAACACACACGGGAGAGAAACTTTATAAATGTAATGACTGTGGGAAATCCTACTACCGAAAATCTACCCTTATTACACATCAGAGAACACACACAGGAGAGAAACCCTATCAGTGTAGTGAGTGTGGAAAATTTTTTTCTCGGGTGTCATATCTCACTATACATTATAGAAGTCATTTAGAAGAGAAACCCTATGAATGTAATGTATGTGGCAAAACCTTCAATTTAAATTCAGCCTTCATTAGACATCGGAAAGTACACACAGATGAGAAACCCCATGAATGTAGTGAGTGTGGAAAGTTCTCCCAGTTCTCCTATCTCACTGACCATCATACTACTCCTTTAGGAGAGAAACCCTATGAATGTAATGAATGTGGGAAAACCTTCCTGGAAAATTCAGCCTTCGATGGGCACCAGTCACTTCCAAAAGGGGAGAAATCCTATGAATGTAATATATGTGGAAAATTGTTCTCTGAGTTGTCATATTACACTATACATTATAGAAGTCATTCAGAAGAGAAGCCCTATGGATGTAACGAATGTGGGAAAACCTTCTCCCATAATTCATCCCTCTTTAGACATCAGAGAGTGCACACAGGAGAGAAACCCTATGAGTGTTATGAATGTGGAAAGTTCTTCTCTCAGAAGTCGTATCTCACTATACATCATCGAATTCATTCAGGAGAGAAGCCCTATGAATGTAGTAAATGTGGAAAAGTCTTCTCTCGGATGTCAAACCTCACTGTCCACTACAGAAGCCATTCAGGAGAGAAACCCTATGAATGTAATGAATGTGGGAAAGTCTTTTCTCAGAAGTCATACCTCACTGTACATTACAGAACTCATTCAGGAGAGAAGCCCTATGAATGTAATGAATGTGGTAAAAAATTCCACCACAGGTCAGCCTTCAATAGCCATCAGAGAATCCATAGGAGAGGAAATAGAAATGTACTTGATGTGGAAAATCTCCTGTGAAGTCAAGTGTCATTTTAGAAAATCCTCTGAATATAAATGATTTGGTGTCAAATATCATGGTCTGAGAGTTCATGTTTCTGAAGGGGGGAAAGCATTTAGGCATTAGATTCATTTTAATCTGAATTTTCACAGAGAAGAATCCCTCAGAATGCAGTGAGAAGCAAAGCCTTCAGCAAGACCCTACAACTCATTGGATACTAGATTATACAGTAGTGAAACTTGATAAATATTTAATGTTTATTTTGGATTCAAGTTGTATTTACATATCAGGGAATCATACCAACGTGAAATCTGTTAAAGTGATAAATGTGGAAAAATATATTGTCTTGCAAATGTTATACTAAAAGCCATATTTCTGATGTAAAATCACGTTTATAAAAAGATATCAGAAGCTGTCAGCTCTGAATAAACCTTCATTGTATAATGAAGCTTTCAAATCATCAGGATTTGATAATGAGGTCAGTAGCATTAAATACACATATGGAAGTTTCCATCAGGTTTTAAAAATGCAATCTAACAATAATTGTATGCAGTTCTATGCAAGTTTGGATTTGAATAATTTGTGAAAAGGCAGTATTCTTATTTGAGTATTAAGATGGCAAAATGTACCAACCCAGGTCATAGTGCTGACATGATGTTTGACAGGTACAAAGTAAAATACATAATTTTCTATTCTTTAGAGGCATTTACAAATGGGTTTCTAATAAATGTCTCATCAATAGAGAAACCAGTGACTTTTGTATTTTCCAACTACATTTGAGCAAAAAATATTTTAAAATATACTATTTTCATAAGCTATGCATAATTTGGAATTAAGTTTGTTTCAATGAAAAAGGACATCTGTACCTTTAATACTTTAAAATATGCCCAGCTCATACCACTTTTGTTTTTAATCCATAAGTTTGAGTGTGCAGTGTGCCAATATTATGTAATTCAGAAATTTTATCTGTACTTTTATATTAGTACAATGTCATTATTTTGTACACTGCCCCTTATTTCCAGTATTTTGGAACAAATTAATACATGTTTCTAGCAGACATTTTTGGTTGATTAACTCAATGCCCTTTCTCCCCTCTTTCCATACTGAAAGAGTTTGAGTGTCTGTCATTTCTTCACATGACTCAGAGTAAACCCTGATTAGTCTAAACCAATCATGATAATTCCATTCTGATTGCCAGTAACTCTTTTATAATGTGCACATGGCCCAATCCTGGGCAAACAAAAGTGATCAAATATGTCTTACTCCAGTAATGCGAGGATGTTTTAATAATCAAAAATCAATCATGAACATATCACATGAAGAAAAGTAGCCTGGTGGGCAGGAAGTTAATATGGTAAAGTCACCATCCATTTATGTTCTTAGCAAACTGGATAGAAAGGAACTTCTTTCATTGGGTGAAAAGTATCTTAAACTACAAACAACAGCATACCTAATGGTGAAATAGTGAAGGTTTCCTCCCAAGATCAAAAAAATAGACAAGGATATTTACTATCACTAACCAGTATTGTGTAGGAGGACCTAGCCAGAAAAGTAAGGGGAAAAAAGGAATCAAAAGGCATAAGGATCAGAAAGACGTAAAGCTTTTCTTTGCAGATGACATGATTTTGTACATAGAAAATTCTGAGGAATATACCAATAATTAGAATTAATGAGTAAATTTAGCAGGGTCCCTTTATACAAGTTCATTATGAAGAATTTTTTTTAATATACCAGCAATGATAATGAAAAATGAAAGTATCAAAAGCAATACTACTTACAGTAGCATGAAAAATCCTCAAGTGCCTAGGAGAAAAATTATCTAACCATATTTTCAAGAATTATGTCCAGAAAAAACAATTACAAAACTGAGAGGGACATATCTAGTTCTTGGATTCCAGGACAATCTTAAAAAGATGTCAGTTTTCCCCAAATTAATTCATATATTCAATGCAATATTAAAGTCCTAGCAGTTCTTTAAAATTTAGCTAATTCTGAAATTTATGTAAAAATTCAAAAGACCGATAATAGTCAAAGCTATCTTCTAGAATCAATAGCAAGAGGACCTAATATTGCCAGATATCAAGACCGGTTATAAAGCCATAGAAGTTATGATGGTGTAGTATTGACACAGAGATAAATTGACCAGTGGAACAGAATATAGAATTCAGAAACACCCATACATCATAACATCAGTTGATCTCTTTATGAAGATGACAATGCAGTATAATGGGGGAAACGAAGTTCTTTCCAATAAATGTGCTGTTAAATTATATTTCATAATAGAACATCGGAAAATCAACTGAGATGAGTTGCAGATCTATATATGAAATGTAAAGTAGTAAAACTATAAGGAAACTTAGAGGAGAGTGTAACCTTACGCTAAACAAAATTTTCTTAAGATTCGAAAAGCACCAAACCATAAAACGTTAATTTGGATATGTTAGATTTTAAAACTTCTGTTTATCAAAAAGACCCATTAAGAAATCAAATAGGCAAACCACAGAGGGGGAGGAGATACTTGCAGTTCATACACATGACTGCACACTTGAGTGTAGAGGGGCTGGTGTTTCGGAGAAGTGGCCAGATAGTATTTTGGGCTTTGCAGGCTAGAGAGTCTGTCACAGTTACTCACTTGGCTACCGTATGGTGAAAGCCATAAACAAAAACAGATGAACGTGGCTATGTCCCAGTCACACTTCACAAGCACAGATGGCAGTCTGGATATGGCCTGCAGGCCATAGTTGGTGACCCCAGATATAAAATATAAAAAGAACACCTGCAAATCAAAAACATAGAAAATGGGCAAAAGACCTGGATACCCACTTCACAAAAGAGGATAGCCAGATAGCCAGCAAACATGAAAAGGTATATTAATTTATTAGTAATCAAGAAAATGCAAAAATTTAAAATACCATGTGGTACTTCTACCCATCCACTGAAATGGTTAGAATGAAAAAGCATCCAGTTTGGGCAAGTTTAAGCAAGAGGAAGTTGACGCTGCTGATGGTGGTGCTGATTGATAGAACCATTGTGGAAACCTGGTACTAACAGTTGAACATGTGGATACCCTTTTAACCCAAACCTAGCAGAAATGATATGTCTACCATGCATGTTTACGATCACCAAAGGACATGTGCTAGAACATTCATGTCGTAAATCTGCAGAAACCAGAACTAAATGAAGGTGTGTATGCAGTGCAGTGAATGAACCTAAGTGGAATGTTTCCACTATAGAATGCTGTAAAGCAGGCCGGCCGAGTGGCTCAGTTGGTTAAGAGCTCGCTCAAGAGTGTGAGCTCTGAGGAACAGCAGTTCGATTCCCGGCCCGGGCTGAGCTGCCAACAGGTGGCAGGATGGCTCAGCTTTAAAAAAAAAGAATGCTGTAAAGCAAAGAGAATGAACAAACACTAAGAGCTCAATCCAGACAAAAACACCTTGTATGATTCCATGTACACACAGTGTAAGAACAGGCAAAACTTGTCTATGCAGCTAGAGGTCAGGACAGCGCTTAGCCTTGGCAAAGGCTGGAAAGGGCATTTAACTGGTGCTGATAATACACTTCCTAAACCTGGGTGCTGAATATCTCAAGTGTTCTGTGCACTTAAGGTATGTGTGTTTTTCTGCATGTAATACTTTCATAAGTTTTTTAAAATTACAGATGTCAACCATTTTTGTTGCTCAGCACTCTTGCCATATTTTTCTAGATGTGTATAAATATGCTGTGTAACAGAAATTAAATGGTAGATTTTGCATAATTCTGTGCGGGAAATACTCTAGTGGTTTTAATGGCAACTACTAAGATTTCCTACACTGTGATCTTAAAACAATATAATGTATATTTTAAGTAAAATATTTGAAAGGTGGTGGGGCCATTACATGTTTTGTCACCCTACCCTTTTGCATATATAAATGGGTCTGAACTGCCTCTTCAATAAAGAACTAATGTGTATAAACATTTCATATTTTCTCAGACAAATTGTTTTTCACAGTTCTGAATTCGGGGTTCATCTTAACCATTACCCTATCACAGAGGTGACCTTTCTTGTAGGTAAGTAAATATAATGGTGAGTTTGATTGGGTGAAAAATTATATTTAAAAGTTTTCAGCAAATGTAAGCTACACAGTTAACAGCACAAATGTGAGCAAATGAAAAATGGTTAGGGCCAGCCGAGTGGCGCGTTGGTTAAGAGCTGGCTTGGGACGCCAGAGGGCCCCGGTTCGGGTCACACATGTGAGGGCCAGTGACACTGCCCTCTACAGCTAAGATGCTGAACAACAGCTTAACCTGGAGCTGGGCTGCCCTGAGTCGCTGGCGACGGTGTAGGCTGCAGTGAGTTGCCATGGGCTACAGTGTATAGCCAGCAGCCAGCGTAAGC